TAAAGTATATCTAAACCAAAAAAACAAAATGTAATATATTGCAGCTTACCAATCCTTAAATGCAGAGGCTGAATTAGCTTTCTTTTTTAGTCTTCTTTCTCTTTATTTTTACCTGGTTATCCAGCCAGTAACACACTTCCTATCTTACGGTGGCTCCACTCTATGGAGGAGCAATGGAGCCACCCTTGGACAGCAGCATTGTAGACCTGTGAAGAGGAGAGTGTTCAATGCACTAGAAGATTTAGATGGAATTGACTAACAAATTAAAACCAAATTCCAGCTGACAGTTGTAGCCCCCACCACCTTTAGTGGAGTGGCTACTAGAAATTTAGTGTTTGCCAGAGCTGTAGTTAGCTTGGCTGAATTATAGTTGCCATTTCTCTGGTTAATTCCAAGTGTTCTGGCATTGATTGTACCTGCCTGAGTGGGGTGTGACTCTGCTGCAGTGTGGGAAAACCAATGGGGGACACTCTGAGTGTGTGTGCAGTCCACCAGCCAATCACTGGGGCTCTCATAGCCAGTGGTGCATGCTAGGACAGGGCATATACTGAATACTCAGACGAATTGCCATGTGCTCAGTCTGGTTACAGCCATGGATTAGTCCTGGTTGGAGTGCTGTTCAGCCTGCCCCCGGGCTAGGCCTGCGGGTGGGAATATTCAAATGTTTTACTAGGTCTCAAGCCCAGAAGAGGTCTCTGCTAATTATGGAGGAGGACAACCAGGGAAGCTGATGGCTGCTAGAGGTGCCTGAAATGTGGGCTGGACCTCAGGAGCAGCCTGGTATCTCGCCTACCAAGCATTATGTAGCAATCCCTGTTTGGCTGTGCTCTTCTACCCAGTGTCAGCTTATGTTCCTATTGAATCTGCACTGAAATTCGGAAATGATCTGGTGAGTCTGGAGTCTGCCTATTTTTCTCATGGCTGTCCTAAGCCCTATACTCTCTCTCCCAGTGTGAAGATGTTAATAAGGTTCTTCAGCATCTTACTTCTGGCCTGGATTTCAGCTCTGTTAGTGGGGCAGCAGGTTAGCAAAATACCCTAGACAGGCTATGGCTGACCCGGGTATTCCATCAGCTCCTTCGGGGGTGAGCTCTGCACACTTTTTAAGCAGTTACAGTTTTTTTTTCCTTTTGAGATAAAGGTTTTAAACAATTTAATTAAAGCTTACTATTGTGAGTACCCCATCAGTTATAAGTGGTTTGTCTCAACCCTCCATATGCCACTTTTGCTGGACAGCTTGGTCCATTAAAGGAAGTTTAAAATAACAGACTTACTCTCCACATCACCAGGTGAAAAGAAAGGAAAAAAGCCTAAAAAACTAGAAAACGAATGTAGCTACCGATCTAATAACTGGCAAGCTGCAATATATTACATTTTTGCTTTTGGGTTTGGATACACTTTAACTCTTGATCAAAACAAACAAATAAAATATGTTCACCTGTTAAACAAAAAAGCAAAAATTTTAGCTGCTATTCCTACTTAGGATGTTCCACATGTTGTATTGGCACAAAATTCAGTTTTATTAAAACATTTAGAAGCATATTACAACTACTCACATGACCCCAGTGCATAATAGCACTCCAGATATGTACATGCTAATTTCCAATGGGTGCAACGTTTATGACAGCTTAATGTTTTTTGTCAGTAGCATAATTACTTCAAAAGACGCTCATGAAGAAGTCATTCTATCACAGAAACACATGTTTTTATGTTTAAAAAAAATTGAATTTAACTTTAAGAAGGCTTTTTGTTTTTCTCATTCTTGCGACAATACTGTTTGTGAAACATCTTGAGTGAGAGCTAAGGCACTGCTACCTTTTACTATTAGTCTCAGGGGATCTGGAGTCAGATTTGGTGATATTGATGTTTTGGTCGCTGTTGTCCTGCTGGAGAATCTGACGTAAGGAAGCAAAGTCCTGCCTCCAAGGTGGCCGCTTCATGCAAATACAAGGTGCAGAAATAGGCATGGTAGGTCAGTAATAGGAATGATCTGTTTTAGGGAGACCATATTGGTGTCTAGTACTTTGCCCTCTGCTTGCCTTTTTTGGGGACAGCTTCCAGAGTCCAGTTCCTCTTTAATGTTACCAATGTCTGAACAGAAACTATAGTGCCAACTGATTGGGTGGTGTTAGCTGGGACTGTTGTTCAATGTGGAAGTCCAACATTGCACTAACATGATTGAACTTAGGCAGCATTGTGACAGAACTGATATAAATTCATGTCTATTGAAGTAGGTAAACCAATGTATTGTGCTACTTACCTTTATGTTCTTCTGCTTGCTCAGGAAAACAACCCACATGTGGATGAAGCCTAATAAATCCTTTTATAGAGACGTGTATGTAAAGAAGTAGCTTGGTGGCATGAGCTTTCAGTAATGGTCATATCTGTCTCATGAAATATGTCCTTATGATTGTTAGTTGATATCGATGAGCAAAGAAGTAACAATTATTTGATGTGCAGACAATACTTCCTGCCATGCCAAAGTTACATTTATTTATTGTTTGGCATCCTAGGGGAGCTGAGACAAGATTTCTTCCTTACTTCTTGGGTCTGCTAGTATGGACATTTTGGAAACAGCACACAGTTGGAACATTTATTTATCTATTTCCTGGTGCAAACATCCTGGCTGTAAAATGAGGGTGGGCAGATCACAAGGTTTAGGGCCAGTTCACACCACAAACAGTGCGTTCCAGAGCGGTCAGCACTGTATTTGAACCCTGCATTCAGGGGCGGGACAGGGTGTGGCAGTGCATTGAAGTCAATGGCACCGCAGCCACGTCCCCGCCCACAGTGTGATCACCCGCACCTGAATTCGTGGCACATCAGTGCCTGCGTTCCGGTCCAGTGTGATCTGCAAAAATGCTGCAAGCCAGGTTGCGATACAGTACGTTCCAGAGGCTGACCACTCTGGAACGCACTGTTTGTGGTGTGAACCGGCCCTTAGGGAGGCAAGGTTAGCTACGGAACACTTCTGATCATATTACAAATGCAGTCTTCATCATGATTAATGGCTGTTTAGGGCTAGTTCACACCAGAACTGCGTGCGCTGGCACTGCTGCAATGGGGTGCATTTTACCATTAATATCACCGTGATTGTACTGCAATTTTAACGTGATTGATGGCTTTTGTTGTTTTTTTTTTGCTTAAAATGGGAATTCAGGTGCGTTCCAGGGCTTTTTCATGTGTTTTGATGCGTCCGGTTGCGATCCGATGGAGCTAAAATAGGGCAAGCAGTGTTTTTTCTGACTGCATCGGAACGAACTGCCCTGGTGTAAACAGAGCACCAGAAATCCCATAGGAAAGCATTGTGATGCATTTTGCATGCAGCTGCCAAACTGAACGGACTGCTTCACAACTACATCTGGTGTGAACTAGCCCTAAGCGAAGAGGTTGGCAAAGTTCCTGTCAAGGTGCCCACTAACACTAAATCACAGTATCCCACTCTGTCCTGTTTTGGCCATTTGGGTCATGATCCAGTGTCATCCAAAATGCAGACAGCCCATGATACTGCCAAATGAGCCTTCTCAGGGAAGAAACTAATGAGACCATTTAGAAAGCCTTGACTAATCACTATTTGTTGCCAGTATTGAGGGACTTTCCCTCTCTCCTCCATTGCCCTAATCAGATGTGCTGATGTATACTAGACAATATCGGCTTAGAGGAGTATTTAGCCCAAGAGATAAAGTCAGATGTTGAATCATGCATGTATGTTTGACCCACTTCCAACCAAACAATCAGAAATCCCCCCTAAGAATGTATAACCCATTTTAATGGTTATGCCGTTATGCCTGCATGGAATGTAAATTAATTTTGCACAGCAAAAATTAAAACAATTTGTGTATGGAACACAATACTATAGAGAAGTGAATTTGTTAGATGCTGTAGCTAGGAAAACCATATTCATAGCTGTTCATATAACCTGTACTCATAAAAACATTTTATCTTCTGTGCAAACAGAAGGATGGTCCAAATGCAACCTTGCCATAGGAAGAGTTCTCATCTTTATATCGCATTTGTTAATTTTTATTTTTCATTCTAAATGATAAGCCTCACAATGCAATATTGTCATTTTAGATAAATCCCTTAGAATGTAGCGCTTCTTTTAACTACGTTCTTCTTCCAAGGCCTGTTCTTCACTTTTACAGCAGCAGGAAATACACAAACTGTTGGCATCCAAAGTAGACACGGTGTTCAGTGAGATGACATGAGCTTGTTTTGTGGTTCAAAGCTTTGTGGCACTCCCTGTAGCATTGCACTTATGCATGTTTTAGTGTTATAGGTTTAGTAAGGGTAAAAGCAACATAAAAACAACACCTGCTTCATTCTCAGCTCAGTGTATAAATACATTTGTTAATTAGGAGGTTGTAAACTAAATAACACATTGCCTGGAACATGAAAGACGATTAAAGCCTGCAAACATTGGTGAGCTGTTCTCTTTTGCTGTTGTTCACCAGAGTATTATACTGAAAATACTAGAGAATGATCTGCACAGGGGTTTCAATGTGTGTGATGGGACCCCTTGCTAGTCACTGTGCAAAGTATGGATGGGTCCTTAGTCTCCCTGCAAAGTCAAACAAATGCCTGTTGATCCTGCCAGTGTTATCTACCTATGCAGCTTCCTGTGATGGGGTGGCAACAATCTTGCACCGCTCCAAAAATCAGAACTGCGTTGTCAGACTTCATGTTGGCTCTGCTTGCTTTTACTACAGTGGGAAAAGAAGATGTTACAGTGGTCATGGCTGTCAGCACCGTCACTGCTGATTCCTAAATCTCTCATCACACCTAGTCCTGCATCAATTATCTGTAGAGTTATCTGCTTTGTCTATCATTGTTATTACTGTTTTTGCAAGTACTTTTGTATCATCATAACGTTATGCTAGTTGTATCATGCATTTAATCTTCTGTATTTTTTCCTAATATTTATTGAATATGTACAAATACTTTGTGTAGCCCAATCTCTTCAAATAACCGTGGCACTGTGATTTTGTGTTCTGTTACAGAGAGTGGCAGAAACTGTTGAGGAGGAGGTACAGGGCCACCAGGATGCTGATGGTGGAGAAGATGCTGATGATGAAGAAGTCACAGAAGATGACGTAGATCATGACAACATCACACCAGATGAAAATGAGGATCATGGTGTCCTAAGCCATGAAGTGGAGGCCAGTCATGAGAAACTAAACAATTACGTAGAAGATTATGCTAACCATGATGCTGAAGTGCCGGAGGAAGACCAACATTTTAATTCAGCGGACACGAATGGTGAAAATCTGGAGCAAATAAATGGTGATATATATGAAAAAGAAGAAGGCGAAGATGAACACCCTGATGGAAACACAGATGAAAAAAGCCAGGTAGTTTTTAAAAAAGGCATAAACAATACGTATTAAATGTGAGTCTCTATAGTTGCATCTATATTACACAGATAACAATGACACAAACAACAGCGTTTGTTAATCTCCTCAATCCTCCAGTTTAACTCCACAATTTACAGTGCCTTCTCCCCTGGCTAAAGGTTCGGTCTGTCTAAGTTCCTTAAAGGAGAACTATGAGGTGAGTTATTTTCACTCACCTCATAATTCTAGCCGACCTGTGACAATGAAACTGTCACAGGTCGGCTCAGTAGATCGGGAAGTGAGCGAACACATACCGGCGCTTGCTCACTTCTCGATCCTGTCACTGCAGAGAGCCGTGACAAGGGAGGGACTGGATTCCCCCCTCCCTTGTCCGATCCTCCAGCGCTGACTGGCGGAACGGACGGGGGAGGGGGTGGGTACAGGTAAAACACTTTTAAAACAGCTAAAACATTACCCAAAAGAGATTCACATAGCCATACATGATTGCCCCTCTCCAGGAAACATTGTAGTTAACAGTGCTTTGAAAATCAGCTATGGGGTCAGGGCTTTTCCCCATAGTTCTCCTTAGGGTAACGGGAGGACACAAACTAGCGTCCTCCCGTCACCCTAAGCTCAGTATACCACGGGCTGTGGCTCGCGGTATACTTAGACGCCACAGCTGAAGCGGATCCTGACAATTATGTCTGGATCCGCCCAGCTGCGTGAGTGACAGCTGGCTCTGCCTATCTAGAGGCAGAGCCAGCTGTGAGCACCCTCTCCCCGTCCATTCTGCCAGTCAGCGCTGGAGGATCGGAGCGGGGAGGGGGGAATCCAGCCACGCCCCTGTGTTCGCTCACTTCCCCATCTACTGAGCCGACCTGTGACAGTCTCATTGTCACAGGTCTGCTAGAACTATGAGGTGAGTGAAAAGCACTCACCTCATAGTTCTCCTTTGAGATATCTTGGAAATGTAATCCATTTATTCCTCTTAGTATGTACACAGTAAATGTGGTGGTACTTGAAGTCAGTGTCATTTTATTATGTCTCCTGTGCAATCCCTGTAATAATTTTTTGTGATGACAGACAGGAAACACTGGGACAGCAGGATGAATGCTAATGTCTCAGTCTTTACCTAGTCTGACATTTGTTTTAGTCAGTCCAATACAGCACTAATACAGTGCAGTCTAATACTGTACATGGATTAAAAAACAAAAAGGAGCGCCTCCATCGTGTAAAACGAATTTTAATGATACAAACGAACAACTGTATTGTACTTGCAAGAAGTCGGTAGTAAAAAGGCATGTAGAAAACAATGGGATGTCAAATCATCTAGCAGCGGAAGTCTGAAAAGATGTGCAGCATCAGCGTCCACTGCCCGTGTGGTCTCGGTTTACATGTTTCTGGGCACGCCCCCTTCCTCAGAACCTCGGGAGGTTCTACATGCCTTTTTACTACCGACTTCTTGTAAGTACAATACAGTGGTGCTTTTTATCATTAAAAGTCGTTTTACACTATGGAGGGACTCCTTTTTGTTTTTTGTCTCTCAGATTGAAGGTCCTTTGACCCTTGGGAGCTGCCTCTTCAGTGTGTTCGTTACCATTTCAACTGGCCGATATTGCACGTGGAGGAGCCGGTATTCTTTCCTGTCACTTGTACATGGATTAGTTAAATGATTATATCATCTGTATAACGAGGAAGGTAAAACTTAAAGTGACACTAAACTCAGGAGTGAAATCTTAAAAATGCATTCAAGTACCTGAACTATTAACAAAAATGTCTCTTATTTGTGTATCACTCAGCTGTAGATCCTCAAATCATCTCTGAATTGGTACTGGCACTGTCCTTCCTTCTGGAGGGTGGCTACTTTTTCCCCATGGTCCCTGTGTGTGTTGTAAAGTAGCCACCGCTCCAAGCTCACTCCCATGATGGACTACAAATTCTCCAATTCAGCTCATTTTCTAGTTCAGCTATGTTGTTCTAGATTGTTCACTTCTCCTGACTTCTCCAAACTCTTCACCCTTTTGTGAACCCTGCTAGTATCTAGTCCTGTAGACTATGGGGTCTATTCACAAAGCTGCCGAAGGATCTGGCCGTAGCTTCGGCCGATCCTTCGGCTAGCTTCGGCACCAGGACAATCGTAGGAACGCGCTGTAAAGCGCCTTGGTGTGAACCAGGCCTTAAGGTTTACACTAGCTACTCTGAAACATATTCTGCTCTAACAAGCACATGTACTTTGGACTAAATCTTGCAAATATTATCATGCATCACATTACACATATATCTTCTATATCACTGGATACAGATAATAAAACCTTGATCTTCTCTTTCTCTCTCACTCTCTCTCTCTTTCTCTCTTTCTCCCTCCCCCTCTCTCTTTCCCCTCTCTCTCTCCCTCCCCCCTCTCTCTCTCTCTCTCTCTCTCGACATTCTCGCTCTCTCTCTCTCT